TGCATACTGCGAGAAAATAAAGCGTTTTAAAAGGAGTACTTGCTTTTTGTAATATTAATATTTTAATAAATCTATTAAAACTGCAAAAGCTGAATACTTTTTAATGGCATCATAAGCTTATTATTAATTAGCTTTGTGAGCTTTATAATGCTGATACTACACAGACTTAATCATATAGAAAAAAAGGTCATAACCCCATTCGAAAGCAGCTTTACAAAATAACAGTCTTTCTACAAAATAAACTTTGCTGGTGTAATGTACGCTCACAATTTTTATCGGTTAAAGCGAGTAATGTAATGTTCGAGTTAGACCTAAACTGGTTGTCTAGAAATAACAGTGATAAACTTGTGGTTCATCGTCTCTCTCTCTTACATTTTTTTTATTTGAAAGAAAATGAGAAAACATGCTAAATGAGATGGAGAACAAAAAACTTAAATTAGAAAAATGCAAAATGAGATCTAAAGAGCATTCTTTAAAACAAATGAATTCAGATGTGCTTCGTAAGCTTTCGTTCGTATAACATCGGAAATTCACTCTTCTACTACTAATCTTTAACTCGCTTTCATAATTCGGGTATCCTGTGTCCTGTCTCATCTATAAGCCGTTACCACTCTATATCCGCGCGGGTGGGATTACTAACACGAGTCTTGTTTCGAAATCAGCCCTCAGATAACTAAGCCGCCACAACTAAGGGCTCAATTACGAACGCCAATCGACCGTGAAGATTTTTATCGCATACACAACCTAAGTACAACAGGGGCGATTAGGAGAGCCGGCCGTTTAGTGAGAAATTAGGCGGAGTTGCGGTTGTCAATTTTTTCCGGGTAATTTGCGGGGTAGGATGAGGTGTTCAGCACGGATTAGGATTGGCATTCGGGGAGAGGGAAATTCCGTGCAAAATGCGTATTATAAATATATATATATGTGTATGTGTTAAAAATATTAATATTGTGTAAGCGGGTTCTCCGTTAAAAGGAGGAAAAGGCAACTTTTCGCTGTTAGTGTACTCATAGAGTTTGTCTCATTTTGTGAGTAGTTACTTAGTTATGTTGTTATTAAAGTTCAATGATGATTGAAGTGGTTGAAAATCTACAATATCATGAAGCTGTTTAATAACGATTTCGCTACTAGAGAATGTTTTTTTTTTGAAAGAATATAAAATGTGTTAGCAGTCACACGGGCTTTCACGGGTGTGTCAATGGTAATGCTTCTTATTCTTGTAAATATTATAAAAAGACTAAATGCCATAAAAAAAACTGAGAAGAAACGGGGTTGTTAAAAAATATATTTAGGCGATGGCTACATAATTATTTCCAGACATCATTATTAATGATAAAACTCATCAAGAAAATATTTTTAAACTTACACTTGATATACACTGGAAAGCTTTGCCTTTCAATTGGTTTTCCACCTTACCTAACCTTTCTAGTTTCTTAAACTTTTCATCGATATAATGCATGTACCTATACAATATACTATTATCCACCACAGACACACAGTATACTCCAGCACGCACATTTCACACATAGATATAAGCGTATTGCCTTCTCTATTTGGATTGTAAGAATGTAAGTTATTTTATATAATAGGTGTCAGTTCTTTATTACTGGCTGTGACCCTGATTACATTATGGGGAATACCTCATGGTTGAGGCTGAAAAGCAGCACGAACCAAGGTATACCTTGGCTCCGCTTACGCTGAGCCTCGTCCTCTTACCTCCACTAAATGTTATTTTAAGATATATACTTGTTCTTGATTTTTTCTTGATCATAGTTTGGAGTCTAACCTTTTATCGAGTCCAAAAAATGTTCAGGATACTTAACTTTAGCTTTTCTTTCCAGGTTCTTTGGTACAAGACTGAGTCGGGGCAATCATAAACAGTATCTGGGGCACTATAATTCAAAACAGGGACAGAGATTATTTCCTTGGGGCAGCCATCAGGGGAAGTAGCCTCCACATTAAAGAAGAACACTATTTTTGTAGTGTTCCTGTAGTAAGGTCTAGGGCTGAGGGGATAGAGTCCGGGGCACGGGAGCGATAATCTAATATTTCGATGATTTTTAAGATTTTTTTCTGTATCTTATGTAACACTTTAAAAGCTGATAATGATAACAATTGAAAAAAGAACAATCAAACATCATATTACTCTTGAACCAAGAAGATACAATATAATTGCATATAGTAAATGTTTCATTCTGAAATTCGACACCATGGAGATTTCATTTTCATTCAAAGTGGCCAGTGCGTTAAAACGGCAATTTCGTATTCTCCGAAAAAGGTAATTACAGGTTCTCTGGTATTGCAACCGTCTATAGGGTATGGTATTCGCTTAACATACGCTTGTTTGCTACTATTTTAATTAAAAAACCTTTTTATACATAAAGCCACGATGGTTTTCCAGATTAACAAGCAGAGATAATTGATTACTCTTTCATTATTTTAGTTATTAAATAAAGATACATTCTCTACAGCTTTTGGGAGCTTACGTGGCTCTGAAAATGTCAACATTTGTTTGTAGAATTTTCTTTTTGGTCGTCCTTTGCTGATGGAGATATCAGTCAGACCAAATTTCGCTCTTTAATTTAAATAATTCAATAAAATTCACTTTAGATGGAATCCCTTAGTAAATCCCTAGCTACGCCCCTGTCGAAACTTCTTTACCAGTCTACTTATATTCAGTATAAGTCTCTTTTTCATTAAAATTAATGCAAGACAAAAGCTGCAAATTTTTAATTCAACCATTTAAACGAACGCTAAACTGTGATGTAAGGTAAAATGAGTACCATTGAGTGAAACACAAAGTTTAAATGAGATGACAGAGGCAGCATTAAAAGCAGGTGGCGGGACGAGTTCAAAACTAACCGAACGATGAGCGTAATGCCCCGTTTTAAGCTGCCTAAGCTGGGAAGTTCAACTCTGCAATGTTTTGTTTAAATACTTATTTTTACTTTGTTTCAATTTCTGTCTCTCTTTTTCCTATATTTCGTCATTTTTGTTTTAATAAAAAGTTTTACCTTTGAAAGTAATGAATACAAATATTAGTTTAAATATTTTAACGGAATTACTGCTTGAAGTAAAGAATGGATGTAAGCTTTTGTCTCTTTTATTATATTACTAGCTAATGGACCACCCCGTTTGCGCACGGATGCAATTTACCGATGAAAGAATTCAATAAAAAATACCATCCCGTGGCGGGAATTTTCTGATGGTTTCTAGAGAATTTTCCGAAAAAAATACTTTCATACAAACTTTGTTCTGAAAAATTGGACCGCGACTATAAAAATCGTACCGGCTGGATTAAAGCTGATATCTTGGAAGAATATGAAATGAAATGTAACCTTTACTGACTGACTGTAAATCAATTTTCGTCACCTATTCCAGAGCAAATTTTAACGAAATTTTCCAACCTTTATATCTTACTTATTATAATTTGAATTAATTACCACAGCTATTTCAAATTAGTTTTTATGTTAACTTATGTGTAGATAATTAAAATCGACAAAATCTTTATGTGAATCGGGTTCACAGCGTACTAGCGTCTACCCTATTATTTATTTTACGTAGACGGATAGCTAACGAAAATTTCCTTTTACATTTTGTACGGTTTAATAAGAGGGATCGGCTTAATGACATGTTATCAGTCATGTTTGATGTTAGTACCGTATCCGTTTGAACAACTACCAGTCTCGGCATATAAATGGCTTACATACAAACTGTATGATGGACAAAAGCCGAAGCCTGAGGGATGTTTAATAAAGTTGGGGCGTTATTTGGGATAATTCCACCAAATCCCTCCTCTTTATTAACTTCTCTGTTTCGGCGATTTCGACCGAAAGAGGGTACTGTGACGAGCACGTGAATTGTGACATTGGGGGCTATGAAATTTTTAATTTGAAATGATTATTGAAAACCTTGCTGCCTATTTATATACATCTCTAGTTCGCGACATAAATAAATCAGTTGCGTTTCTTAGGATGAACAACGTGCGTTCATCAATTACCTTTTTGTTGTTTCATCTGTAATTTAATTCTAAAGTATTTTTTCAACACTCAAAATTATTAAGACGAAAATAGCTTAAATCACCTAAGAGAGGTATTCCTAACGACGCATGTTCTTAATCATAATCTATCCAATAAGAAAGAAGAGTTATTAAAATAGGGGGAAGTGAAGGCAATCTCCTAGCGAGATGAATCAACTTAATTTCAAACAGACAGACACGTAGCTTGATGGATGCGAAGATTCAATTTTAGATTATGGATTTCGTTTGACACTGTTGTCTTTGAGAAACTCAAATTATTATTCTTAATGCATTCAATAGATATGTTAATAAAGTGCTAAGTACTTTTAATATTATTAAAGGGAGGAAGTTGTTCTACAGTTTTTGCAGTACAGCCATTGCATAGTTTCCTGTTAATGATTTTTTTATGAAATTATGATAAAATAAAAATCAAGTTCTGGAAAGAAAAATGTCAAAAAGTGACTTCAATCCCCGAAACAGGTGTGTGAACAGGTGCAAAGATGTTAAGCGACGAACATGAAAATAGACCTTTTCCACATTGCAACTATGTACAATAATGTACATTGCGCATCGCCCTGACCATTTGAATAACATTTTTATGTGAGCCGAGGAAGACCAAATCAGTAGGTCATCACGATCAAATTAGCAGGTGACGTCAGAAGAAACAGAAACGGACGAGCATGTATAAAAAGGGTAATAGATGTAAATGAAGCGAAAAACGTGGGTACAGATCGTATCGTTTGGTGTTCTATTCTATCTTCCTATCGGGTTTAACTCAGGACTCGGCGTGAAGATAGACTACTGAATAAAAGGTGACCTCCATGGCTCGAGTACCGGATTCGAATCCTAGTGAACAAATGTTATACTTATATATGTAACAGTATGTATTTATCCGTTATCCCTATCCTACAACACAAACGCCTTACATTGCATACTTTGGGGCTAGGCTATTGGTGTGTGTGGAAAAATAAAAGGCACTCACCATGCATCTTGTTGTTGAGCAGCGCGTATCTAGGATTGGAGGCGACGTCCAGGGGCAGCGAATTCCACAGCCACTTGACTCTCGGGGTGGGGTTGCCGGTGGCCTGGCAGGGCAGCGTCGCCGGGTGGCCGACCTCCACCACCATCGTCGAAGAAGGCGGAGGCACGATGTTAGGGAACCCGGGCGGGATTTTATCGGCTGCGAAAGAATACAGATGAGTTAGTTACCCGTGTTAAAGTATTTATTGATGTGTTCGATTGTTCACAGAAAGGAAGTCATTAAGTTATTAATTTATTGCAACATGTTGTTTCGATGTTTTATTTTTGAATTTGTATATCAAAACTAGTTTCCGCCCGCGACTTTGTCCGCTTTATAGTTAGTTTTAGACAAAAAATATGCCATCAAAAACATAACTTGTAGAAAAACCAAGTCTCGCAACACAGTTCTACTTCTTCTACCGTCAAAAGTTGTGAAATCCATGTTATGCCAAGTCGGTTAATTTATTCAGTCCCTTCTTAAGGAACCTTCTGTCTTGAGTTATTACGAAATTAGCTCACTTAACAACATCTCTTTTTGACCATAGCAATATTAAAAATCTTGTATGTTTTAAATAAATAAATGGACTTGGCAACCGCACATTGTGTTTTAATGCGATTGCCATGTCAAATTATTTATTTAAAACATACAAGATTTTTATTCTATTTATTCTGAATTTGAAGCTTCTATGTCTGCTCGAAGTACCTTTCAGTTTTGATGATCGGTCAGTCAGTCAGTGAGAGACAAAATGAAGGAACTTTAACTAGTTATAATTCTTAAACTACTGGCTCAAATTCAATGAAATTTGAAATATACTGGGTTTATTCAATGCCTACTTGGTTACTGAAAATTCAGGGTTCTAAGTTTATCGCTTACGAAGTCAGAGGGTTGAAAATGGTCTGTTTCGAGAAAAGGATGGTACGGCTGTGCCGCTGTTTTTGCTCGACTTGGCGGGGGCACGGCAGTGACCTATGTGTCAATGTATTTCTGTCAAATTATTCTTTAAGCGCTGCGCTTGTCTGAGACTTGTTGGCATAAGCTCGAGACTTCAAGTAACTCCAAACAATGAATTCTGTGGTGCTTAGATCGGGCGATTTTGCTAGCCATACCATATCGCTAACATAAAATCGAGCCGTGTGAGCGGTTGCACCATCTTGTAAAAACCACATGTTCCATTGCTTCTTTGTTTGTATTAGCTGCATAGTTCACAAATGTCAAATATGTTGTCAAGAGCGACGCTATTTGTAATAAATTATAAAATTTTCCGCTAAAGTGAATAATTTTCGCACCACCCTTTATATGCCAAATTTCACCCAAGCGTGAAGGAGTAACAACAATCCATACAAATGTTCGCGTTTATAATTAATAGAATTAGGATCGTCTAAACGCTGATGAACAGCGAATGAAACGGTTTAATAATATGCGTACTTAATTGGAAATATAATTTCATTTTTATAAGCGCGTTTTATATTTTTCAATTAAATCCTAATTTAAAGTGAGGTATCTCAGAAACGATTGTCCTATTTACTGAAGATTGCAATGAAATGAAGTGAATATTATTGCTCATTAGAATATGGGATGGATTAATTAACCCCCACTCTACATTCTTCTTATGAAGAGCAAAGTAAAAATAAAACTCCCAAATCTTTAAAATGTTTTTGCTTTATTTTATATAGGGGTACTTTAAAATGTGAAATATTTGAATGAACGAAACAATCTTGATAGTAGAAGATAGTATTCATGTGTCCTCAATTGATAAGATCTTTTCAGCGGACATATTTTAAATCATTTATAAGAAAGAATACCTGCTTCAAAGCATGTATTCTTATAAATAGTATTAATGTAAAACATTAAGCCACACGATTGTTATAACTCCACTGCTTAATATTAACTAGTATACTAGTAAAAGAAATGATTTGGCGGAAAGGGGGGGAGGGTGAGAAAAGTGGTCCAGGTAATTGCGGAACGAACGATGAGTGGAAGACAATAAGGAACACGCAAGCCATAACTGGATGAGCAAAGCCCAGGAACGAGTGCTGTGAAAAAAATGGAAGAGGCCTATGTTCAGAAACGGAGGCTGATGATGATAATACTAACAAAATCTATTTCACGCCCAAATGTGGATGAAATATGAAATTTGGCAAACTGCATTTTGCACAGGTGAAGTTAACTAATTCCATATCGCGTCGGCCAATAGATGAGAGCCGTGCACAGAAAATTCCCGCGGAGAATCTTAAAGGCTCGTAAAATTTCAAATAGTGAAATGTTAATTCGCTAAATGAAATTCTGCTCGGTCTTTCGGCTGAACTGAACGAAATTTGATTAAGTTACAAGACTGACATTATTTCTTGAAGATTCGGCGGAGTTGGCGATGCGTTTGCTCAAGTGCGAGTGAGATGTCTATACTTACGCCAGGGGAGATTGCTTCGTGAACTTTTAGATGCGAATGAAATTTATTGCCTTGTAAAACTCTGCCCGATTAATTGAATAAACAGTGGGGTTTTGCTCGTTTGAACAGTAGGTTGTGCGGCGGATTGCAACGGCTCTCCGTTCGCTGTTTGTGTTTATTTTTTAAATTAAGCATAAATTAGGTGAACGTCGGCGGAGGTTGTTATTGCTGAGTAATAAATTAGTATTGTGTTTTCTTGGATACGGTTTGCATTTTAATCTCAAATTATATGATAAAATTTATACTGCTTCAGTAGCCGAAAACATTATACTTGTAACGAAAGACGAGAGCGTTGGACTTGTTCTTGCTTTCTCTGAGTGTTCACTGTTTCTTTTGAATTTGATAGTGGTAATAGATAATGTAAGCTTTTTTGCCTATCATTAGGTTAAATATCTATAGACTATGATGATTGCTTAATATTTGGTGAACCATCAGCTTCTATGTTAGCCCGAACCCAAAAAAGAGGCTCATGAAAATGGCAAAACTAATCAATGAACTTTACAATGAAATTATCATATTAGTAACTATTTAAGTAAATAAACTATATTTATGTAGTAAGTGCTTATACTGAATGACATATTTACGATCGGCATGTTGGCCTTTTCTGTTTCGTGTTATCGACGTTTAATATATTTTCTATGATTTACAACTTTTCCTCACGACTCCTCTATTGACCCCTCCAATTTGAAATAGTAAAAAGAGTTTTCCGGTCGTTTTGTCGAGACCTCCGAACTTCGAACACATCTTTTGTAGACGGGTCGTATATTTAAATCGGGATTGGTAAGGAAAATAAAATGATTTATAAAAAATCACAGCTACAAAACAAGCTCGCTGATGCCAGGGACGTTATCTCTTGCAATATATTAATTGGTTTTTCATACTATCTCTTATCTTCAATTTCCGTCTTCAAGGTTTGTCTTTCTTATGATTTGATGACACGTACCGAATAAACGGGCGAGACAGTAAAATGTTTCTTGGCCGTAACAGTGCTGGAAATTAAAAAATCATGTAAGAACGCTCGGCCGAGTACTCAGCGTACCGAATACTCGGCCGAGAGTACTGTCTCGCTCGTTTGCTCGGTTCGTATGATCAAGGCATTAGACTCGAGCGGCCTAGTGACTCTACGGCGGTACATAAAATCCCTATTGAAAATCACCCCAGTCATCTGCGACTAGTAGCATACGGTACATTTTTTAGGTAGCCAAATGACATATCTACCCGACCTGATGTTAAGTGGTGGTAAATTCCAGACACGAAGAAAGCTGGTGCAGCAGTTATGAACTGCTACACCAACCATCCTCCCCTTGCCGGCCTGCAGAAATGCTTCTTTACGCCTCTTTTGAAGGACCCCAGATTGAAGGAAGGAGGGAACACATGCACCGGCAAAGAATTCCACTTGCTAACAAAGAAATAGGCTCAAGTGTATACCTGGTACAGTTCATTAGACATAACCCATAATTACGGTTCTGTTTTGTCAATACACCCTTCGTTTATGAAATCCTAAAAAGAAACCGCACCACTTAAAACAGATCAATACAACGGGTACACACTTTACAATGCGTAAAGATATTTCGGGTCGACTCTAGGCGGGATCATAATTGGGTCGGATAAGTTTTTAATTGGGCAGAGCAGAACACAAGAGGAGACATTCGGAAACCCCGAGGGCAGCCAGACGTATTCATTATGATTACAGCGATGCAGCCCACTTAAACCGCACTCAATACAAGAGTTCCTGCTTAATGAGTTTCATTAATTTTGTTCTTACGTAATTTAACCGGTCAAGGTCAAAATTTGGTTTTTATTGCAAATAATGTAGATCAAGTATATACGTTTTTGGGGCAGATAATTTTGGTCACTTTATGAACATGAACTTTACATTGCCAATATAATAAGATTAGGTCAGGTCGTTTTTGCTGCGTTCGGTCCAAGTTATAAAAGATGCACTTTTTATTATTCTATGCAATACGTATACATATTAAAATATTATAATTTATAAGAATTAAGTGAATGTATCACGACGTACCATTAATTTATAATCGCGATTAAAAATTATGCTGTTCTTTTATAACAAGATATACTGAAGGTAACACAAACAGAATTGTTATCATCATCATTAAAGCTCAGCTGCTGGGACACAAGTTTTCTATAGATTTTTAGGCCGGTTTTAGTACTACCAGCGTCCTGGGCGAGATTTCTACGGCGCCCCCTAACTGTAATTATATACGAAAAAAGAGCAAAGGATATAATGAAGATACCTACTAATAAAATTTTACTTTTCTAGCCTTCCTATAGGCGAAATCCTTTTATAAAGTTATCAAAGTCGTTGTTTTCTGCAATTTTATTTTTATTGACAAAATTGCCAAGTTTGTCAATTCGGATTGAGATATATCCATGGATGTTTTGAGAACAAGTACCGTAGTGTAAAAATAAAAACTGTGTTTCTCTATGGTAAGGTCGGGAAAATCGTTTAAGATGAATAAAAACATTAATTATTTTCAAATATCGCGATTTATAGATAAGTAATCTTTTTGAACTCTCGCAACTTATGAATCAAATAAATATAAAATGACTGAATACTCAGTAAAATTGTAGTATACTGAAAAATAGTAAAAATGGGTGCGTGTACTTATGTAGGCGCGTGAGAAGTTATCCTTCTTTGGCATCGTTTAAAATTAGTTTTTAATTGCATGCAAATAATTAATTACATTAAATTAATAAAAA